ACGAATCAGGCAGCGGTTTGAGTTGAACCGACAGAAGTAGTTTGAAATGACGCATGAGGTGACTGAGTTTTTGAGGAGCTAAAGAAATGTGCGACTGCCGAAAGAACCAATGTGAAGAGTTGTCTCAATGGCTTGGTACAAAGATTGTTCGAGAAAGAGGACGAGAAAATGCAGAGTTAGTGAAGGGGATTTCATCATTACCAATTTAGTGGGAAAGTCTCATGACCTTGACACTACAATGAGAAGACAGCTCGGAAGATTCTGCATTATCCCTAGAGAAAGCCCTACAGTACGAATTAAATCGAAATGGACATAAGGCTACATATGACCCGATAAGCTCGGAGTGGTCGGCGAAAGGCGATTGTTTGGATCTCAGTGGACTCAGTCAGCGAAATGTCCCTCGGAATAAAAAATTAAAGTCACACGACCCACATAATCCATCTTATCGACCTAACCTTGCTTTTATCCTCAATGGAGAGGGAATAGGGTGCGATGTGTGGTTTATAGACATTTTTATGGCCCTTCGAGTTCTGCGAAAAACCCTCTGCTTGTTGCGCGTCTACTCGAATAATTCGGAAGGATGAGTCATGGTGGTAAACAGTGCAGGTCGACGGTAAACCATGTATATGTGTTGCGCTATTGAGCAATGTTCATTCTTCGGTTAGGGGCTTTCCTGTACTCAAGGTCAGTGCTCACGTGGTAAATCTTGGTAGTGAGTCACTGTTTTCTACGCACGCGTATCCGCTCATAAAATGAACACCCTCTCCCGTGTGGGGTAATAGGAGTTCAAATATCAATGCGCTTTCTGCATTACTGAGTAAAAAGCATTAGGTTTTTTTTTACAGCAGATGAGTTTAAGGGCAGAAATATGGCAGATACACTGGAACAAATTTGGAGATTGCTAATCTGGACCGTAGTCTATTTGCTAGCGACATGCCGAATAGATGAAAAGCGAGACGCCCTTTGACCTGCTTTCCAGCTCACCGGACGTCTGTGCACTTGAGGTTATCAGTGAGCTTATGGTGGCGGGACCTACGACTGTGAACGTGCTGTTCTCCCTCCCCCACACACAATTCTAACCACCAGGTTATCGAATGAATGGCTGTAATCACTGAGCTCATGTCAAAGAAGGATCATCGTCAAGCCGTGTGTGGAGTCGAACTAATGATAGCATCAACCTTCTCACCACAACTGTCATCGTCATTATCGCCCCCCCATCCGGCCCCGAATCATGTTGGGGCGAATTCGAACGCCATCTGTCTGATTATGTCATCTACGCGTGACCGAAACTACCGGAAGCGATCTTTCAGAAAAACGAACGAGGGGGGGGGGGCGTAAAACGAAGCGCCACCCCTTACTTTGTGCTATTAATTCAAATGGGGCCTCCTAAATTGACAGTGAAAACGAAATATCAGTTGTCGCTTTGTATGGTGAGTTGGACTGCTATTAAGTTAACCGTTGGAGGCCTAGCCCATTCAAATAGCAAAAGGACAACATTAAATGAGTCCAGATTGTTCAGTTGACGCACCTTTTTTGTTCACGCTGATCATGTTGACAACCCCAAAACAAAAGCACTCATCGGTCAGTAGATCAGTTCATTGCTTCTCAATCTAACGTTTAGTTATCACACAGGTTAACCCGAAGGGGTAGTTGTTCCAGTCACTGGTCAGAGCTGATTAATAACGGTCACACCACCGACAGAAGTCCACGAAGTGCAAAACACGAAGTAGCTAGAAGGGATCATCTCAAGCATTTTCTGGTCAACTCGTGGACAAATCCTTGTATTGATGTACTTCTTCTGATGCGAGATTACAGCAGACTTTCTGTAGGTCTTCTTTAGGCCAATTGATTTTTAGCAAACGAAAGTTGCGGCTGGTACACACGGACCCAGTTGGATGATTGGCAGAGCCAGCAATAAAGCCTATGCACGCTGATGGTTTGATGGTGAGCCTGAGGTATGTTGATACCGCGTAACTGTAGTTGATGGACAGCGTTCTAATGGCCGTGAGAAGGGAGTTACCACACTAAAACTGAATGTGTAATTCGAAAACGTGTGGTAATGCCGCTTCGATGCTTGTCAGCAGTAATACTTGTAACGACGGGAAAAGCCGACCTTCAGGATACGTATAAAATTCTAAGGCATATATGATGACACACTCGCAAATGAAACATGCATTCATTATCCACTTTACAAGCAACAACTGTGGTGATCGCCGAAACCAACAGTATACTGAAATCAAACTACTCAGCGAGTGGCCTTTCAGCTACCTCTGTGATGTGGTTTTAGAATTTACTGGAAATCGTTTCATATCAAGCAGAAGGGCTTGCCAGACCGTCTGATGGCCAAAAATCAATACGTGCACGTTGTATTTTTACGCTGTTTGCTGGGACCAACCTTCATGACAAAAATGGTCATCTCACAACTCAAGTTTGCAAACAACAGTGACAAAAGAAGACTCTGTAAAATGCTGATAAACAACAGCTTGGCTTAGAGTGAAATGGCTACTGAGTGACACGAAGGTGACAACGCCATAGGAACAATTAGAGGTACTTGAATGGACGTTCTGAGAAGGTCTTCAATCGAGTCGAGATCTGCCGTCCCCAATATCTAGAAATCGGTACTACCCCATCGCTCATTCTGGCAGTAGAACCAGGTTGCCGACAGTGGCAATCGAGTGAGTGTCATGAACTTGACATCAGCATGCAGCTGTATTCAAAACCAAAAGTTGTTGACACACAAATACATACTCACTGGGTAATTGGTTTTATTACAAATACCTGGATTGAGGAACCGTCTCTCCATCTATTTCGTGTCATTTCGAGAACAGTGGTTTCATCACAGCCCTTCAAGAACTGATCATTTCCAGATGGAAACGGACTCATTAGGAAAACTCGTCCCTTATCCACTTCCGAATGGGTTTACCTCAGGAAACCTTGCATTCCTTGGGATAATTCTGAGCCGATGAAAAGGAAATTATAGTAGTTACTGCTAGAGAAATCATTTTCCGTTCCTTACTAACCACCACAGAACATGTAGAAGATGCTGAAGCGGACACTGGGTTGCGATAGATCACCATTTGAAATACTTTCTACAACAACCAGTTCGCACGCCAGAAAATCGTCTGCCTCGTGAGGTTTACGTCTATATTTGTCACCCATTTGACCCGTTTGGATGTTCTAAGGTAAAACTATGCTAATCGTAAGCAATAGACCGCCTAACATTTATTCTTCTAATGTTTGTAGCTCTAATCTGACTGCATGTCGATAACAGCTTATAAGTGCTCCACATCCATTGTGGATCTCAACCCCTGAACAGAGTGAGCCCCAAGGAAGGTAGGGCTTTAGACCATCCCGACAGCGTACTTTTTGGGGGACCTCCTTAGAGGGGCAAAAATCAAAAACAGCGCATACAGTGTTTGAAGTTTACTATTGAAAGTCCCACAGGGGTAAGTTTGATTGCAGACAAATCTCTTCTACAGGAACCAGGAACAATGCATACTTGCTTGACGGTACGGAAGGTTACCCAGGTTGTTGGGTCCACTGATAGACCTAAGGGATCTTTGACACAACTTGACACGTCATATGAGAACAGGTATGGAGGGCTGTAACCGTAGGACTGTGTTTTTGCTGCGTGTGATGATTTTAAAACGGCATGTTATTTCTACACATTTCCATCCCCTCCCAAAGAAAGACCTTCAAACTTTCAACGCATCCTTCCAAGAAGAAAAATAATTAAGTAGATGCAAACTTTTGAGTTCGAACATCACAGGCTTCTGAAAAGTACAAAATACTACATTGGCCACCAAAGTGAAATGCAAAGCTGAAAAAGGTCTCTTCTGTCCAACTACCGAACTATTTGTTGAACGCATTGGTCAGAAAGTTTTCATCCAACTTATTCCCCATACATTTATGAGTTTTCTTTTCAAGCTGTTGATTGTAAGAAAGGCTCGACTACCTTCCTACATTTGTTTGATCATGCCTGTTTCAGGTGACATCTGTTAGTGTCGAGTCCAGACTAACACACGTCAAACTCATAAATGAATCTGGTGAGGTGGGTAACGTAAACGAGGTTTTTATTTAATGTTCAATGTACTCTTCCTTCCATCGTGAGTTGACAAATGACGGTCGCCTTTGCTCAAGCTGCTCTTCGAATCCTCACACAGTTGTCTTAATGACTGCCCCTGAAGACTATTTCTTCTTCACTAGGATCATTCTGGAAGCGATCTAATCCTGCACGAGCCATGCAGGTTGGACTATCACGAAGAGACTGAACCATACCGTGGAGTGGCGGTTCGCGCACCTCAGCGATCCATTGAGCTATACTGGGGAGCGTCCCCGTGGCACTCATAGTCTCTCATACCAGGTTGGCCAGTGGTTAGAAGTCTGGCGAATACAGTCTCCTGGCCCTCAAGGTTGGGGGTTGAAACACGTGGCGACCTGTTCCATAGAAATGCATTTGCATTTCCCGCCAGAGGCCACTGACTTGCTGTTAGGCTTCTGAGCCAAAGGCTTTGGTTGAGGACCCTAATCGTCCTGCTGTCTAGGTGTGGGCGCCCCGGCAGTATCCCAGCCCTCGTATATTTCATATGATATTTCCACACACACGTGCACTTAATCTCGACAGTTGGAATGAATGCATCATCTATCTGGGTTTGGCTAGATACACTGAATCTTTACGATCCGGAGTTGAGTAAAGACAGGTTTTTGAAATTATTAGGGATCCTGGTCGCCTCACTTATAATGTGTCCATTTCTATTTGACATCCTGTTTGATGAACCCACCTTTCAACGTGCAAACAGCGAATGTAAGCCTCTGACTATACAATGCAAATGTGTAAAAGGTTATCCAGTTATACTCCAGTTAAAACATCATTCGTTGTAGAAGCCCTGGCTTCTTATTACCTATGGGTCTTCACAACCAGATTTCTCAGTGCATCAGTTGCCATTCTCTAGATATCTGTTGCCTATCATTAGTCATTCGAATCATATTCGTTACCTTAGGCAGCCTACATGGTGTCATTGTTATCGATCGTGTCATGGGACATCACCCCACCCCCGTCACAGTTCCAAGCAATAACCGCAAATATGCGATGAGAGAGAGAGAGAGAGAGAAAGCTGCATCGGCCTATCAGTCACAAATAGATCGGGCAATCGCGTTTAATCGTTTCGTTCATGTTGGACCAGGTGTATCGATCCCAACCGGTCCGAAGAGAAAGTTGGCCTATCAGTCACAAATAGATCGGGCAATCGCGTTTAATCGTTTCGTTCATGTTGGACCAGGTGTATCGATCCCAACCGGTCCGACAGCAAACGCAGCTGACACAGATGCACCAGAATCAGACTACGGCGATTACAGACCCCCACCATCATATATCACTGTCAAACATCAGGCGGTTGTTAATGACATTACAAATTTCGTGAAATACACTCACTCATACACAATTTAGCTTTCACGGGAGACTCAACTGAGTCACCCGTTTATGATGTCCTGCAACTGAATGTGCTGCACACAGACCGCCTCATGATTCAGTTGGTAGGATATTCGAGATATCGCAGTATATTTTCACAAAGGAAACTACTCACAAGTTTGCTGAAAACTCTTCGACAGTCCACGACCGGTTTCTCCCTTCTTGGGCTGTCGAAAAGTCTTCAGTAACCTTGTGACTTGTTTCCTTTATGAAGACATCACAAATTCCTTCATTGGAATTTAGCTTTCACGGGAGACTCAACTGAGTCACCCGTTTATGATGTCCTGCAACTGAATGTGCTGCACACAGACCGCCTCATGATTCAGTTGGTAGGATATTCGAGATATCGCAGTATATTTTCACAAAGGAAACTACTCACAAGTTTGCTGAAAACTCTTCGACAGTCCACGACCGGTTTCTCCCTTCTTGGGCTGTCGAAAAGTTTTCAGTAACCTTGTGAGTTGTTTCCTTTATGAAGACATCACAAATTCTTTCATTGGCTCCAATGGAAGGATAATTCGTTTTTTTAGAAATCGCTGGGTAGAACACGCCTTACAAGTGTGACGCTTCATACGCGTGACAAATACGCTATACAGTGTTACACTTGTCACTGCATGTCGATTCACAAAAGACTGAGGGAAGGAATATCCAGCTGGACAACTCTGAGTTAGGCTACCTTCCAGTTAGATCTTGTGTGCATGTCCGAAATCGCTCCAGGCTGTTTTTTCCCACACGACATAGTTCGTGCATCGGTCGACTGTAAAAATGGTACTTGATCACGGTGTTATTCCGTATTGGGTTTTGTTTTTAGCAGTAGCGACGGTCGTGCGGTGGAAACACATGTGGCGTTGAGAGCTCACATGGGTAAAGTGGAATGACGGTTTTTGTTGTTTTGTTGAGCAGGTGCGTACAATGCAGTCTCCTTCTCTCCTCACACCAGAGGGCTGTAAATCGATCCACATTTTGGTGAATTCCACATACGATTGGTGAACACAGAAACAAGCGAACGCAGAAGATTTGACAAGATCGTGTTCAGCAACACTTGGAAAACGTTGGAAAACTTGAATGCCATCCTTGATAATTCAATGTACCCATCAACGATTTTTAAAGGCTTGCTCAGCACTACAATGATTCTACCTGGCTCTGGGGTTTGGTCTCTATGGTGAGCACACAGTTTTTGTCCGGTGAGGCGCATTCACTACATGACTGAATCCAATGCTCACAACAGATGATTCGTGATAAGGTATTGTTTCAGATAAGATTACTGAATTCCAGACCATCAAAATTCACTGTTGCGATAATGAACAACATAACCCTAACTACTTATTTTTCCAGATTTCTCGTTCCTGCCCAGAACCCCAAGGGGAAGGTCAGATTGGGATGCCTAGAGACGATGGGGTGCCTGTATGTGGGCACCCCGTATGTAATAGAATTCAAGTGATGTTCCAACGTTGATAATCAAACCGTCGACCTATTCTGTAGAGTCACTCCTGCTTTACTGCCAATCGTTTTCAGTGAGTGCCGGAGGCTAGTTTCGCGTTTGGAAGGGTCTGGAGCAATCATCTACAATCCGACATTTAAAAAAATCGTGGGTTTCCATGCCATCACGTTGTTTTTACTCTTTAGAGCAGAAATAAATGAACGGCATACCAGCATCATATCTCTCATTCGATTGGTTGGAACGGATCTCGAAAAATCAAGTACTTTAGAAGATAAAAAATATACGGAATCAACAGCCGCCAAGTTCGCAGTCAGCTGCGCTGGTTAGGTTACGGAATGTTTTGGCATCGGGTCGTGTTTCCAAACAGCTTCATATCGTAGTCGTAAGGACGATAAAGTAAGTTCACACTGATTCTTGACGGACGAAGCCATAACTCTATTGAACTGGCTCCACAGGTTACCCACAACAACCGAAGTACTTCATTCTGGACAACCTGTGGAGGATAGGATCATATGCGAGGGAAGTAAGGGCTTAGAATGAAGTCTAAAGGATCTCGTTCCTCAATCAGATGCTAGCGCCATGCCTGCAAACTGGGGCATGAAAACCGGTCTTTGTGAGTTTGGCCACTGATACTATTCCGGCGGGTTTACATCGGTTCACAGGTTTAGCCACAGTTGCATATCAAGCACCATGGCAACCATTCACTTTCTCATAAGTATGGTCAGGTGTCCAGCGATTCAGCTATAGTCAACAAGCAAATCCATGTGGGGCAGCCAGCCACTCATAGCCTTGACTTGAAGCTGCCACTTTTGCGTGTTGGTCAGGCCTTAGTGTTGCAATAACCCCCGAGTTACACTGGCTGGAACTCAGTTCCATGTCAGTAAAAGAGAGAAGTCCGACAAAAAGCAGTGGGCATCCTTACATCGGGTAACGGCCTGGTTATAAATTCATACTGGTTACTGCGAGTTGCCCGTGTTTGGTCCACACAATGCTAGCTGCTCCAAGGATGGACGCTAGCCTACTGACTGGTAGCATACCCAGTCGACTAGTCATTGATATTCTGGAGAACAGAAAAGCAATGTGGACTTCGAGGGCATTGAAATTCGACTGACTTGATTTTTGCTATAACACAAGAAAATGTGTAAAGGCAACCAAGGGGTCTACGAGCTGTTCACCAGAACTTTTGGCACAGTCAACAGAAAAGTACTGCCGAACGTTCTACGAAAGTTTGATTGTCCAGACAGAATAGTCAAACTTTTTATACGGAAAACGTTTCCCGGCCAAACATTGCTGTGCGGGTCAAATGTCCGTATGCTGGTATTCGCGGATGATCAAGTCATATTTTTGGAATTCTGTATCGGTATCCAGAGTCTGGTTACTGTTTTTGATTCAGTGGCAGCTCGCTTCAGTCGAAACAGCACTGTCCCTAGAAGATATTTTTTTTATAAATCCACCTATCAGGGGGTCAAATTCAAACACCAAGTATTCAGCTAGGTAGCTATGAGATGGCTTATCATACAGATTCACGCCACCTTGACAGCCCATCATCTACAGATCCCGCGCTTGACAGTGAAATGAACTAGCAAAGTGCAGGAGCCCTCTTGGTGTTTGGCCCCGAGAAATTAGCAGTGACCGCATATAGACGGAGCTGGATTCGTACGGCAGACAAATCTGGACGATATACAGACGACACGTTCGAGTTCATGGCCGACTTTATTTGCAGTTTGCTCGGCATCCTTCGGACCAAATGGAAGAACTAAATCCCAAGCACTGAAGTCCTTCGGAGAAGGTGAATGCAGTTTGCTGCAAAGCCAACACTTGCATCTGCCGTCATCTGAAGAACCAAAGTCGAAATCGAAGGCCCGAGAACGGTTGAAACTGATCAGCTGGCTTCAAGTTCAGGCGAAATGGATGACCGAAAGACCTGCGCTATGGTTAACATAGGCAACTTATAAATGTTGACCGCCGTCCAATTGCAACCACAGTCAACAACAGTTGAAACATTCCATTTTACTCATGGTCCTGCAGTGAGAACAGTATTCTTTCAATAAAGAAAACTACTCACAAGGTTGCTGAAAACACTTCGACAGCTCACAACCGGTTTCAGCCTTCTTGGGGCTCATCAGGTAGGCGCAGTCCCCGAGTCCCCGAGTTTTACTTGAACTTGAGAAATACACTCATTTGCAAATCAATTTGGTTTTCACGACAGACTCACTTGATTCTCTCGTTTATGGTGTTCTACAACTGAATGTGCTGCACACAGGCCACTTGGCACGATATTCGAGATATCGCAGTATATTTTCATAAAGGAAACTACTCACAAGGTTGCTGAAAACNTGGTTTTCACGAGTGACTCAATTGTATTCCTCGTTTGTGATATAGTTGAGTCTCTCGTGGAAACCAACTTGATTTGCGAATGAGTGTATTCTCGAAAACAGTCCAATTTGGGTTCAAGTAGAACATGAGAATGTGGTATCCAGCATATTTTGCGTAGATTTCTTGGGTTTTTTTTGCAGACCAATCTCCACCATGGTGCTGCGACCATCGCACACCAAACGTGTCACTTCCCAGACCTTTATATCACGGTGTTTAACCTGTACTGTGTCTCTGTCTCTCTGTCTCAGTAAAGTGCAGGTTGCTACCTATTTCATGGGATGATCACGACCTGAGTATCGGTCCAGTGTGGTACTGATTGGGGCCAACTCTAAGACCCCGAGTTCACAGCAAGAATGTATCCGATACAGCGGTGGGAAGCAAGCCATCGGGTGGTTGCATGTTGACTGTCCGCTACTGTTTGCTACTGGTCTCTGTCACGTGATACCCCCATGATCAGTTTGATAGTGCACCAGATTTTGGAAAGATGAACTTCAAAACCATTGTTAGCCGAAGCCGTGAATGTATAAACAGCAGGAAAGTGGACCGACATACATAGAAATATGACTGTGGTAGAAAGGAGCGAGGTAAGACCGATCAAAGAAATTATTCGGGTACCGACGGCACAGAATGAAGCGGGTTGTCTTGGATGTCCTAACCAGCACTCAGTATTCGCTCAAGGGAATTGAATTTTCGAAAGCTATGACGTGTCCCTGATGGACTAAAACAATCGGGCAATGGAGTTCAGAGTACCAGTCCAAACTTTTGAGCCCCATTTGGGCATTTCAGGGTAGCAGCGATGCTGGAAAATTATTCCACCAGACTTTCGCCAGATGTATGATTGCTACGGTGGACAATGAAATTCGGTGAGCTGTAAAAAGTGTGGATGTAGATTAGGATGGTTTTTGGTTTGAGCACATACGCAACAAAATGCAACATTTGGGCTTAGAATGTTTCATTCCACTCGCAAAGGTTTCGCAGCTAAGAGCATTGTGCGGCCAATGGTCCTAACCAGCGGTGTTTCCGTCATGGCGGTGCTTTCCGCTGGATGACCATTACCTCAATTTCTTCTGTACTGGTATTCCGTGCTTTGGTATTACAGCTTTGTCAACTTCTTAGATGATCTACCGAAGTGTAGCATAGTTGGCGAGACAGATAGACAGCAGCAGTAAAGTTGTTCACACGCTCAGCATGTGACCTAGATATGATTCATCAGTGTTGGTTATGGCGTCGCCACTGTGGTCTCCCCATTGTTGAGTCACATTGGTTGCACAGAGCAGACGGCGAGCCCATCAATGTTTCAATAAAAAGTCTAAAAGCAACACGCTTGCAATGTATTGGAGATTTGACAGAAGCTTCCATGTAGCTATGCTGACCAATGTTTATCGCGCTGTGACTCGTTCAGCTGTCACTCCAAGCAGCTGTCACTCGGCAAAATGTCCTGGGGTCCCATGGGGCTCGAGCTATTCACGCCGTCGTGTGTTTGAAATGTGCAGGCCTGTTGTGATTGGCATGCACCGCCGAATACGAATAACCAACCGGTTTTATTTACTCAACTAACTGCGACTAGTCAAGACAACATTTTACGAACTGAGACCCATGGTAGGTGGATGTATGTTTGACCATGATCCGATCGAAGTGGATTCACTTTGAGGTTGTTGAATACGCCATAGAACCATTGGCACAGACGTTATGGGCAAAGACAAACGCTCGAAGAATGCGATGGGGTGATTGAAAATCCCACTCTGCACCGCTGGATCCGATGGGCTGGCAGATACTCTCATCCTGCATCTGATGATTGCACATATGAACGTAAAGTGGAAGCTGATGTCAAATGGGCTAATGCTGCTGCAATGACTCTCCTTCTGTAAATTATGGATGCCATCGGTCTCTGACATTCGAACAGATTATTCACTAGCTTTTCTTAGTTTAGAATGTGAAGTTGAAATAACTTTGGAAAGAACCAGTTTCTGGTGCATAAGTCATTGTCAACATAGTTCGTCTGAGAGACTTAGTTTAAAGTTTTGAGCTTCATTCATTCGGTAATGACTGCATTCTTCTTAGTCTCCCCCTTGCTTTCAGCTGGGATACCATGACTTTCGGGATAGTCTGAGTCCTTTCCAGTTGTTCAAATAAAAGTACACTGAATGGCATCGATGGACCTGTTTTTTGCTATGCTGTGGGTGGTAGCATTCAACGCGTGAACCGAGACTTCACGGTTTATGGAATCTGCCGCGCGACGGTACAGACAGCTCTTAGCAACGGAGCCCCATTTTGACATAAAATCTACCTGGAATAACTTGTGCTCGCCATTCGAGTGTCGTGTTCGCGGTAAGAAGGCTTCAGCAATCTGTCGAACTTTTCCCGTAGTTAAGGCCTAACTCACCACGACTCTCCTCGTGCATTTTTCCAACTCAGGATGTGAAATTATGTGCATACTAACGAGGAAAGGTGAGCACGGATTCAGGAACTATCATGCTGTATTCACACCACGTCACAATAATAGAAGAGATCAGGAAAGCAGTTGTGTCCCCTACAGGTGCAGGCCACTGGACAATTTTGAACGACCTAAGCAAAACCATGACTGGCACCTTCGTCCTACAGGAGCTTCAGTACGAGCTGTGGTAGGTCCGGACAGGTAAAAGGCCGTTTGAGAGACTACTCAGTACCCCCACGGTCTATGACGTTGCATAGGTACCTAACAATCGACAGCGTTCGTGGTTGTGACGTGAACAAAACGTACGAACTGAACGCGTTCGTGGAAGCATCCTAATCTCCTCTGTGTACTATAGCCTTTTTACATCCCGTTTTCATTTCACCATCGAGAAATGGTGTTCCGAATGAAAGTCACCAGAATTCCCTACCTCTCAATCAGTCACAAACCGTTCTTCGATGCCAACCATCGTGTTATGCATAGTGCAGACTAGCTGACGCATTCGTAGGGGTAAATCGAGTTAGGCGTTCAATTAAGTCTTCTCTAATAGATTGAATATCGAACTGAACTACTTCGTCCTCAGGAATAAATGTGTAGCGTTTGATAGGTTAATTCATCCGAACGTAGGTTGTTCTGGTTGTGTGATTTTTTCCGGTCATCGGGCTCGGCACGATACCCTTCGGCAAACGATCTTGGCGTTTACATTTTAATTGCGCCAACATATATCCTGTACAGTAAACTCCGTTCACATTAACTTGGGGTTTTACACACGTTTTAGAGATTACCCATGGAACTTGCTCTTGTGAGAAGAAACCTCCTTTGGAAAAACTCGTCTGTTCGTCCAGAGTATGGGTGAAACTGCCTTAAGAATGTGCCCATATTAGTCAGCAACCTATCGACTGTATGACTATAACCAATGGTTTGCATCTATGCCACTAAACAAGCACATTTACGTCTTTAATACTTTTCAGTCGATAACCTTTGGACAAGTTGAGTTGTTTGAGCAAGTGCGAAGGTTTTGTGATCATTGTCTGACGTTGGACTTTGGTTTAGATGTATATGGTACGGAGTAAAGTTGATAGCACGCAATTAAGTCTCAGTCAGAATAAAATTCGGTGGTTAACTCGTGATTGGTTGAAAAGTAACGTAGTATATGAAGCGCACGTGATCCAATCAGTTCATTGGCTGGCCGCGTGGTTACCAGTACCTGCACCAATTGCTTTTGAAAATGTTTTTTTCACATTTGTTGATCGTGTTCGCGATGAAGAGGATCCTCGTTCTGAACGACTTTGGCAAGTACAAAGTAGATAGGTGTAAATGTTGTAATCGCATTCACGTGGTATCCGTTGTCCAATAAACGGGCTAAAACAGAAAGGATAATGGCAATAGGAGATATCCCCACATTCGTTCATCTCACAGCAGCAGGTAGGTGGATACCCACACATCGATGTGGTCTGACAAGACAATATATGCTTCACTTCTTGGATGACTGGTGGACAGCTTGCAAAGAGGATGCGTAAACGGGCCACAGAGAATAGTCTTCGAGTCTGCTTGACAGCATTTCACTTGTTGAATCAGGTTTGCAGGACAAGCCTACCATTTTGAATACCCTGTCACATGTTTGTCACGTGATCGATGCCCTAGTTGTTTACACCGTGTACAGTGATTTGAAGCAATGACTTACAGCTGAAGCTGGTTCTCAAATAATGGAATCTGTTCAAGCAGAGGTTAGACTAGCATACTGAGGGGAGAAAGGAAAAACCGATCGATACGTTCTAACCATAATCCAATCCAAGGATTCCGCTTCAAAAATGGGATTTTAGCGAAGAAAAGCAATCAAGAGACTTATCGATGAACTTACTAATGGATGCGCGTCACGAATGTAGAGTTTGGTGTATACGATATAATCGGGAAACACTGAAAGGATCAGGAAAAAAGGGACCCTAGTACGACCATTTTGGTCAAATTCGACCAAAAAAACTTGGCAGCAAACTAACTAGCTGACAATCCAAGTGTTGTACATCATTCGAATAAAAAAAGCAAATTGACGAGTTATCCAGATACCCTGGACATAACCTCGTCAAGATCCGGGTATTTCACCACTATTCCATTGTTTAATAAGGGAGAACTTTTGTGGCCCTCACAATTTTATCACGGGCCATTTCGAAATAATGAAGTGCGTAGACGAAAGCAAAGCTGTCACAGTTCTAGCGAAATAAACTCATTTGCAAACAAATTAGGCTTTGCCAGAGACTCACCTGGAACCCCGCTGGATCTCGCGTTTGTGATGTTCTCAGGCAACTGAATGTGCTGCACCAGGCCGCCTCATGTTTCAGTCGCTACGATATTCGAGATATTGCGATACACGTATGTTCGTAATGCACTACTCATGAGGTTGCTGAAAATTTGTCGACAGCCCACAACCAATTTCGCCCTTCTTGGGGCTCATCAGGTAGGCGCAGTCCCCGAGTTTCCGTCAACCTTATGTTCTACTTGAAACCAAATTGCATGAACTTAGCGAAACACACTAATTTGCAAACTAATTTGGTTTTCTTTCGAGAAACTCGCCTGGAACTCAGCTGAATCTCGTGTTTGTGATGTTGCGATTCTCTTTATTCACTCAAATTGGACAGTTTTTTAATCTTCATTGCATCTAGATTGATTTCATATGCATTTGCTAAAACTTATGGTTAAATATTCCGGACAAATTCCATATAAGACAAAGTCGATAATGACATGAAACCAACGACTGTATGTTATACCTTATTTCGTTACAGTGCAAGCCACGGAGAGGGGGTCTTCATGATGTCCATAACTCATAGGCTTTGGGTTTGAAAATGCATTGTATGCTTCAAAACAGTCGCCAAACTTTTGAGTAAGCCTGTAGTGAACACTTACGAAATCCTCATGATCATCTATGCGTCCTGGCAACTCAGTCTCAAAGTCCCGAACATACATAAAGGNATCAAAGCCGTGCGTGCTACAAGACGAGAGTCTAAATCCTCACTGAGTACGTGCTCTACAAGTTCTTCTCAAAGATGCTGGTTTTCCGTGTCAGAAGAAAATAGCCAGCTTGGCTTCCGGTGGATACGATGAACAAACGGTCTTAGCGAATCTACACTCATTTGCAAAATAATTTGGTTTTTCGAGAGACTCACCTGGAACCCAGCTGAGTCTCTCGTTTGTGATGTTTCCAGGCAACTGAATGTGTTGCACCAGGCCGCCTCATGTTTCAGTCGCTACGATATTCGAGATATCGCGATATATGTATATGTTTGTAATGTACTACTCATAAGGTTGCTAAAATTCCTCGGAACGGTAAACTGTAAATGAAGCGCCTATCCACTGATCGTTATTTAACTTGACAGGTTGTAAAGGTCGTTCACAATGAACTTCATGAGAATGCAATGAGGCTGGCTGAGAAACAGGGCCTGGTAAATGTCTTTGGGTACATGGTCACCTGGGCACTTGCGAATGTAAAATCTAGAACCATTGGTTACGTCGATTTTCACTCCGACTAACCTCGTGTTTTTCCCACATTGATGCCATGGAACACGGGTTGAAATTGCGCACACAAATCCGCAAGGGAACTTTAGAGGGTGATGACCTCTGTGATAGCTTTATCACAAATGTGGTTCCCGATAAAAGCAAAGGATTCAGATGACGAAATCCACCCACTAACTTGTTTCCTCCTCTAATGTATGTTTCGCGGGCTGGAACAGATTTGATGCCGCACCTCCGCCTGATAGTCAGTTTCCGATTTCATTGTCAGAATGAGTAACGGCTGTCCGGTTCACCGCAGGCGGTCCCTATGCACCCACAAGCTGCCAAAATTACCGGCTGTCGAATCTTTGCGTCGTCTTTGGTACCGAATTGACAACCTCCTGGCAGTGTAAGCTCCACGCCACAAGAAACTATCGGGAAAGACTAGGGAATATGAGTGCCTCCGTGGGTTTACAGTAAACTAGATGAATCCACATGGTTCAGACCGAAACATCACAGGGTTGGAACGGTTTGTATCACAGCATGCGTTCCAAGCCTTGGCAACAGGGCAGAAACAATGCGAAATGGCAAGTGTATTAGTGTCAGCCATGCATGACACATGATTGCAATGAACCCGTTAGGTTGTTTCGTACGTGCAGCCCATAAAATCGATGAATAGACCTTACCAATTTGGTTTTAATGGGGCACTCATCTGGAACCTAGCTGAATCTCTCCCTTATGGTGTTCCTCTACAACTGGATGCACCGCCTCATATATAGACGCAATTCATTACTCATGAGTTTGCTGAAAACTATTCGACAATCCACTTTAGGTTTCGCCCTTCTTAGGGTCTTACTTGAACCCAGGTTGTATGAAACTTGACTAATACACTCATCTGCACACCAATCTGAATTTGACTAGAGACCCATGTGGAAACCAGCGGAATCCTTCGTTTATGATGTTTTCCGTCATTCATGCCTTGCTCGCTTCCGTGGGAGTCTGGGTTTTTGATGAAATACAATCATTAAGGTTGCTCGAGAGGACTAGGAATAAAAAATGACCTAAACTGAAATGAAGGTGTTCCAAGGGGTGCCCAGCTCATCCCATGAATCTCGAAACGCAGCACACTGCGCAAACAATCAAGATACATATTATACAGTCCCCGATGGTCTCACAGAAAAACTCGAGGCGTCCTGGTGGGAAGGTAGAAGGACAACATGCCACATCAAAGTGACCTGAAAAGGATTGCTATGCCGCAAGCTGAACATCTATTTGATATAACCTGGACCGCTTTAGTGACACCCATCATCTGTCTGATGGCGAAAAGTGCGATGAATTCATCTCAACATCACCATATTTACTGTTGCTTTCTGTGCTTAGTCAGTGGGGGGGGGGGCGAGATGGCCCAAGTGGTTAGAACGCGGATTTACTGACCGGAAGGCTCGTGGTTCGAACCCGATCTCTGCCTCTCGACTTCCCCTGTTTCGGCTTGGGTAACTTGGCAGTATCCCAGCCCTCGTGCACCTTCGGGTGCACGGCAGTTAGGCACCGAGAGGGTGCTAAAGTTGGACGATTAGTCAGTGAACAACAGTTTCATATTAGTTCGGAGGAAGCGGCGACTGACTTCAATCAATCCCTTCGTAGGTCATTACGAGGTGTTTTCACTGGAACGTCTGTTGTCAGATTGCATGTCGCTACACGTTGTTGTTGATGACAACATCACCATGCATGTGTGCCAAAAACAGATAGTGTACAAGTGCATAATCAGTTCTTCCAAACTACGAGACCGGCATGACGAATAGAAATGCAATGTATTTCAAGGACATTAAAATTTCAGCAACGTTTCAAAACAAGAAACCGTGACCATCACCACTCGTCTCGGGGGTTGTTCTCCAGAACTGACATATTCACGTACTCACGTATTCAGAAATTGTTTGTCATGTTCCCCACCACTATGTAGAATGTGTTACCGTTGAACTTCTTTGAGGACATCTTCAGCGTGGTAGTGTGAAGTACTCGGTCGTGCCTGACAAAAAGGTTTCACGAGACTTCCAGGGTCGAATGAACTAATTTACATTCAAACAATTAAAGACATCTAATAAGTAGCACCGGCGACGACTATCTTTGGAAGGAATTCAGGTCACCCGAAAAAAGTATCCGTCGAAGTGATTCAAATCTGCCATTGATCGATCGAAATTTTGGTAGTGTATGGAGTCCAGCTGAAAACCAATAGACTAATTGGAAGAATTGCTTTGGTCCGGAATACACAAAATTCTCGTCAAAATATACAGATAAAACAAATTTATCTCCCCGCTTTTGAATGCTAAAATGTATGGCATTCAGTCCGTCGTAGCTGATGTTCCTTGGGCAGGAAATCAGTAATTCGTTTTGTTAGCAACCATAGATTTTCTCGAATTGTTACTATCCCCGTTCTAACTGTTCGACGAACGTTGCGGTAGCGATTTGTGTGTGCCTAGTGCTCTACAGCAAGAGCCCGTTAGTGCGCGTGAACATATTACCACATGGTAATAACAAAAACGGAACACTTTCGCTATTTACACCCATAAATATAGATGGAGCGATCTGATCAGCTCAGTTGCGTCCACTTGCTTCAAACCCCTGTTGGAATGTGTACTGTCAACATCACCCGACATAACGACATTCCTGGCTATCACCACCATAGGTTGTAAGCACAGAAGGTTTCGAATTACACTCAGGCCCATACCGTAAATACCTAGCTATACGACTTTCGACAGCCGATTCACTTTAATGGAATGACAGGCGATTCTATTTGGAACTGCGGACTAGCTGCATGAGCCATCTGACACGATTCAATTCAAAGCATACACACCTCGCAAGTGACATGCGAACTTTGGGAAATGCACTCATTTGCAAATCAATTTGGTTTTCACGCGAGACTCAACTGAATCTCTCGTTTATGATATTCTACGACTGAATGTGCTGCACACAGGCCACTTGGCACGATATTCGAGATATCGCAGTATATTTTCATAAAGGAAACTACTCACAAGGTCGCTGAAAACTCTTCTACAGCCCACGACCGGTTTCGCCCTTCTTGGGGCTCATCAGTTAGTTTCCTTTATGAAAATATACTGCGATATCTCGAATATCGTGCCAAGTGGCCTGTGTGCAGCACATTCAGTCGTAGAATATCATAAACGAGAGATTCAGTTGAGTCTCGCGTGAAAACCAAATTGATTTGCAAATGAGTGCATTTCCCAAAGTTCGCATGTCACTTGCGAGGTGTGTATGCTTTGAATTGAATCGTGTCAGATGGCTCATGCAGCTAGTCCGCAGTTCCAAATAGAATCGCCTGTCATTCCATTAAAGTGAATCGGCTGTCGAAAGTCGTATAGCTAGGTATTTACGGTATGGGCCTGAGTGTAATTCGAAACCTTCTGTGCTTACAACCTATGGTGGTGATAGCCAGGAATGTCGTTATGTCGGGTGATGTTGACAGTACACATTCCAACAGGGGTTTGAAGCAAGTGGACGCAACTGAGCTGATCAGATCGCTCCATCTATATTTATGGGTGTAAATAGCGAAAGTGTTCCGGTTTTGTTATTACCATGTGGTAATATGTTCACGCGCACTAACGGGCTCTTGCTGTAGAGCACTAGGCACACACAAATCGCTACCGCAACGTTCGTCGAACAGTTAGAACGGGGATAGTAACGATTCGAGAAAATCTATGGTTGCTAACAAAACGAATTACTGATTTCCTGCCCAAGGAACATCAGCTACGACGGACTGAATGCCATACATTTTAGCATTCAAAAGCGGGGAGATAAATTTGTTTTATCTGTATATTTTGACGAGAATTTTGTGTATTCCGGACCAAAGCCCTTCATGAAGACATGCGGACTTCCTCACCTCTTAGTAATTCTAAGTCATGCTAAATTTCGTCTTTTTTCCTGCCCATGCAGCAGTGTTGCAATCCGTTCGAAGACGTACACCAAGTTCAACCCGAAAACAAACTTTCCTCACCACTGGATGACACGGGTCATCGTTTCCACGATCTATACTGAACTACCAACTGCCTCACTAATCCCTTTAAGGTTAAACAACCCACGACATCCAGAATGTACACGACAATGCACAAAACCCGATTTGCAGTTTTGTCGGACGGGTTCTGTGGGATCCTACAGCGCAAATACGTGCCCGACCAGCTGTGGTTGACCGACGGAATCAAGCATGGTCTCCTTATCCGCCCAAGCGATGGGAAACGGTTGTGCCTGTGTGCGCTTGTAGAACGGGCTTACGTACAGGAACTTGTACAAAGCTACTACACTCATGAATTCAAATGAGATTGGGGTGATTCGACGCATGCGCTCTCTCTCTCTCTCTCACTCACACACGAAGGGCACCACCCTGCCTGGAAGTCCCACAGCTAACTAAGAGACGATGACGAAGGTTTGGGAACAGCTGTGCAAATCCAGGAAACCCTGACGTTGGGATTATCGCACAAGCTGCATTCAGACAGAACAAGACGGTGTGTGTGTGTGAGAGAGAGAGAAAAACGGAGAGAGCGACCTTGCAGACTGACGCACACATGCATCGACATACACGGGTGTTCAATTAGAAGCGGGTGAACAAGCCTGGAGAGCGGAAGTAAAAAGAAGATTGGGTTTCAGGTGGTGGGTGAGAGGTTTCAGTTGGCAAAGGGGGCTGCATGCTTGAAGGATTTATAAGTGGGTGGTGAAACATACCTTCGGACATGTGGGTATGGGTGGGTGAATAGATAATAAAGCGATACCGATGAGACCGAAACAAGAACAGCAAAACAGTCTGAAGGAAAAGCGACTGTGCGGTCATTCATTAGGCGGGTTACCCTATAATTGCATTTTTGCCCCTGCGTGGGTGTGCCGGGTGGGAGGAGGGGGAGGGGAGGAATGACGCTAGGTACACTCCAGTTCACAAGTGCGAGGAACATCCCATCACATTCAGAATGATCACCAAAGTGCGAAAGTGGAAACCGGTTTGGGAACCCAGATCACAGCAGAGACGTTAAAAAACAAAGAGTAGGACTGTCAGGAGGTAATACAAGAAATGTATACGTGAAGTTTAAGTTCCTTTCGGGAACACCGTCCGGTTGGGGGAAAGTGGCGACACACGGAGATGCCGGACCAAAAAATATAACATGACAGCGGGAAGCCATTTCCCAACCTTAGGGCTAGGCTTCCACACAACTTACTATGCAATATACGGAGAAAAACCCCGTTATCAGTTGCTAAATGTTTCTCAAGAGCTTGCCTACAACTCTTTCGAGTGATTTCGTAATGCAGCATGAAAGCTATATCCTTCCAAGATGTTTTTCATGACTTTATTGGCCTGCTTCCAGACCTAAGTGCAGCGTCTGTCAGTGATTAATTCACCTCGTCACAAGTACCGCACGAGCAATTTTCTGATGCGTTACTAGGGCTAAGGCGTTGGTCATGTGATCTATACAGTCACATTTGGGCAGACCATGGGTCGTACCTAGATGTCTTTGGTATAAGGGTGATAGTGAGGGCTGTAGGGCTAACAGCTTTGTGCGCATACAATTTATCGCGATATCGCGAGTATCGTGTCAACTAAAACATGAGGTTGCCTGATGCAGCGCATTCAGTTGCTTAAAAACACCCCATAAGCGAGAGATTCAACTGGGCCCGTCAAAACCTGGCTGGTATGCAAATGTATTTAGCAAATGTATTTAGCTACCGTCATAGCAACTTTACAAATTCGATCGCAATCGCCCAGACTTTGCGGCTTGGTACAAATACGCCAGAACGACAGTGATTTCGAGTTCAGTTGCTAAAAACACCCCATAAGCGAGAGATTCAACTGGGCCCGTCAAAACCTGGCTGGTATGCAAATGTATTTAGCAAATGTATTTAGCTACCGTCATAGCAACTTTACAAATTCGATCGCAATCGCCCAGACTTTGCGGCTTGGTACAAATACGCCAGAACGACAGTGATTTCGAGATCGAAAATCTTCTGTTCTGTCACTTTTGAAAGCTAGTTAGATCGCCGTCATTTGATTAAGGTCATTGATACTCAGTGACTTGTAGCATTTCTGTTTGCGTCTGTTATTGGTAGCACGCATGCCAACGTATTGCTGCCGTATTCGTTTACTGGATTATGAGTGGCTTTATCAAAGTTTCCATACAATGAATTATGCTATAACTCTGCCTCGTAAGCCAAACAGACGTACGCATGTGTAGACATGTTGGCTTGACTCCTAAATAGCTAGAACAAAGCAGTGTAGCAAGGACTGTCCTGGGAACATCTTCTTTGGGAGTGTGTAAGAGACAGTAGGTGAGAGGCTAGGTAGAGCCTAGTGGTACAATCCAGTGCTAGCGATACTCGTTGTACCGACACATTCACGACCGCGAGTCCCGAAGAAAGTATCCTCCATTGGAAACTCAGTTACACTGTGTTGCTCTGTCTGTTCGATTCACAGACGGTTGTTTTCAAACTCGGGGGCAAGGTACCAAGACAGTTACAATGCAGCAACTGCTGGTTTGATCCGCAATCCAGTAATCTGGTGAAATCCGAACCTGTGGATGTTTCAAAGGTGAGTTTGCTTGACTGCCACTATCGAGAACTGATGCAGAGGTGGGAAATATACATGTCATTAAATTGAAGTCTGGCTGCCAAGAATGTGTGTGAAATATAGTTCACTGAGTATCATAAACAAGACATTCAGGTGGGCCACTGATGAAGACCGAATTGGTATGCAAATGAGTGTATTTCTCCAATGACTACTGCAACGGCACACGGTATCTCTGAGTGATGCATAGTACCAGAACCTCCGGGAAGGCAAAACAAAGTAGGAGCTGTTATTATTCTGAGACATAAATTCACAAAATATACAGACCTCGACAGCAGACAAACCTCGTCCACGACAAATGAACCACTTGGACTACAAAAGTACAAACCGAATGAACAAACAGGCTCCTACGTGAGAAAGCCACACGTGCATAAAGTCGGCCACAAAATGGCTGGATGACCTCAAAGTCAAATGAGTGAAGTGGTAAGGACAAACGACGTCAGTTCATACTCACGCCATAAACGCAAAAGCTGCAAATAGGGACAGGAGAAACGTGGGGAATTTCAAATGTCAAGGTAATGGGCGATACAGCTTCCTTACTTCAACCGACAAAGTGCGTTGAAGTTGTTTAGTTGCAAATAATGATCATAGTAGCCCAAATGCGATGATAACGTTTAGTTTCACTACAGGATACCAAGACCCATCCTAATTGACTTCATCACTGTCCAGCAAGCACGATTACAGTTCCGAACAAATGACACAATAAGGACAATTTTGACGACTGAAACAGTGAGGTCTGTCCACCGAACTGGATGATTGGGAGGACAGACAAGCAACCCGAAATTCCGAACCGTCGCAGAGGTTGGACCCTATCGTGAGGTGATGATCTGCGTACCTCAGTAGTACATGGAGCTGTACTAGAGGATTTCCACCCAACATTTACAGAGTCTTTCCAACCAGGTTGGTTTCTTGGCCCTCCAGGTAGTGAGTTGGTAAAAGTGTTTCCACCAGTCAGTTGAGCCACGTTGAGTTACGCGCAATACCCAGAAAATCAAATCGTTCAAATGGAGGTTTATGAACAAATACGTTACTATGACTAAAAGAATAAAAGAATCACATTATACAGACATCAAATCCTGGGATTGCGCCAGCTCCCAGAAAGTGTCAGCTGCAAATGGGATAGTGTAAAAATAGTTAGGAGGGGGAAATTAAGCCTATCTGAAGTTCACACCGACTCAAGGCAAGGTAGCTACAAGATGGCGAAGACCACGTGGTTAATTTAAACTACCATAAAATGGTCTATTTAAACTAGACGGGAGAGCACAATACCGTCGTCCTCATTATCAGGTTATCATAATAATAATAATAATAATAATAATCATCGTCATCGTCGTCATCATCATCATCATCATCATCATCATCATCATCATCATCATCATCATCACCATCGGCAACAGCAGGGCTTGGAGAGGACGAATCAACATAACTGAATGTGCGGCACTGATCTGTCGACGATCTCAATGACTGGAGAAAATCATGCAATTACTCGGGTAATTATCAAAAACAGGAAATGGTTCCTTTTTAGGAGTTCTGCTAGATTAGAGGTTCCCCAGAAGAGAAT